TTACATACTCATTCCAGCAGGTTAGAGTTAACTCAACTTCCAAAAAGAGGATCCAGTGAAAAATAAGAGTGGGAAATGGTGAGGCTGAGGGTGAGGATAGGGTCACTTGCAAGACGAAAGAAATTAAAGGTTCTAAGAAGGGAAAATATAAATAGAGGCAAGGAGAGAAAAGAAAATGAAATAAAGGCTGTTAGATAAAAAAGGTCAATGAAAGAAGAAAAAAGCAGGACAGGAGAAGAACCAGAATGAAAAGGAGATAGAAGAGAATTAAGTAGAGCTGTGAACAAGGGGGGTGGGGAGTCAGGCTTACTGCTGGCCTACCCAAAGAGATATCCCTCAATAGAAGCCTCACTGACAGCTGTTACCATAATGGGAACTGGCACCTAAAGAGAAGGCAAGTCTGGTTTAATTAGTTAAATGGTATTATCTATGTCCAATGGGGCTGGGAGAGGTTATGGGTATGGAAGGATTGGTGACCTACCTCTTTCCACAGGCTGAAAGGAAAAACAGATTTACAAAGCTTGGCCAGGAATTAAAGATTCCCATGTGTTCTTATTCACCAGTTATATTTTAAAGGGGCCCTGCACTGTCTGGTGGGGACAGCTAGAATCAAACATTAGCTTTACCTTGAATTAATAGGTTTACTTACCTCCTTCCCTTCTGTCTTACAGCCAGCCTCACATCAGGAGTCTTCATGATGTAGCAGGAACTGAACACCATCTCTCATCACTGGAAGTAGCACTAAGACAGGGATATTGCTGCCCTGCATTCATAACCCAACTCTGCCACTAATAGGCTGAGTGTCTTTGGGCAAATCATTTTGCCAGTTATGTCTCAGTTATAATCATACAAGTGAAAAAAAAAACCTAGAGAATTTAATAAGTTTAATTCTTTAGAAAAGTAATATCTTGCTATGCCTGTAATCCTAGCACTCTGGGAGGCCAAGGCAGGTGGATTGCTTGAGCTCAGGAGTTTGAGACCAGCCTGAGCAAGAGTGAGACCCTGTCTTTATTTAAAAAAAAAAAAAATGTGGTTTG